CTTGTGGGCATATATCGTTTCCTCCAGATATTTCATATTTTAACAAGTTCCAGGTTTCCATTCTGTACAAATCATTTGGCCATTGTCCAAGACCAAAACTTGTCCTACATGTAATTACAGTGAATGACACAGGGATTACTGTCCCACCACCTCTGTCTGTCATGTTTGTCACCCCTGATCCCAAGGTCATTGGCCACTGTCACCAGATATCTGTGTCATTGTGATAGTGTCTGTCTCTTTGCTGGACCACACATGAACTGTGACATTATAGATTGTGTTCAATGGAGGTTTGCTTATGTGCCCATGGTTAGAACATGGACAGGAACAGATATGTAGTTCATATTTTTGACAATGTCTTTCATAGCTGCCCTCCTTGTTTGGACATCTCTTGGTATGTTTTTCAAAACTGTGATGTGCAGTAACTTTTCCTATTTTGTTTAAAATGGTACCTCCTATCAAGAAAGTGTTACTAGCTACTGATCATTTTATTTTATTTAAAAAAGAAATATAAGTAAAACAGTATATTTTTGTGATTTAATGCCTTATAATAATAGGAACAAGAAACAGCTTTGGCTGCAACATGTTTTCTATTGAGTCCACAAAGTGAATGTTAAAATAGGAATTTTCTAACTTGCAGATGACACATTACAGCTGAAGTATTTGATATCAATATATAGCTCCAATTATAAAAGATGTAGACCTCAAAAGAAGTCCAAAGCTGCCATGAGTCAGGACTTTTTTTCTGCCCACAAAGACCCCTGAGAAATATTTTGTCCCTCAATATTTTGTCCCTCGGCTAACAGATGATCTTAGTAGACAAAGACAGGTAAACATTTGGGGTGAAGTCGAACAATAGGATGGAATGAGGGCGACTGGAGAATAATGCTGTGCTATGATTGGAAAATTGAAACCTGAGTCTATTGATAGCTTGTCCGACATATCTTTTAACACAGGTGCTCATTAAGGGTCACATTACAGCAGGTCCAGGGACTTGCTGGCCAGGCTTTGGGATGGTCCAAAAGTGATTAGAGTCACCTGAGTGAAGGGTTCTGTACATCTGGGATATGAAAAATTGATGCAGCTTTGGGAGTGAGGAAATGATTGCAGCAAGTCTTGTAATTGGTGATCTATTTTTATCTGGCTGTTTTTTTCCTTTTTTTAGTGAAAAATTAATTTTGCGTATTATCTTTGTGATCTTTTTCAAGCATATGCTGCCCAGTTTTACATGGTTGGATTCATGTTACTTATGCTGCTTTTAGATCTTTTTATGTNCAATTATAAAAGATGTAGACCTCAAAAGAAGTCCAAAGCTGCCATGAGTCAGGGCTTTTTTTTCTACCCATAAGGCCCCCGAGAAATATTTTGTCCCTCAATATTTTGTCCCTTGGCTAACAGATGATCTTAGGAGACAAAGACGGGTAAACATTTGGGGTGAAGGCGAACAATGGGACGGAATGAGGGTGACTGGGGAATAATGCTGTGCTATGATTGGAAAATTGAAACCCGAGTCTATTGATAGCTTGTCCGACATATCTTTTAACACAGGTGCTCATTAAGGGTCACATTACAGCAGGTCCAGGGACTTGCTGGCCAGGCTTTGGGATGGTCCAAGAGTGATTAGAGTCACCTGAGTGAAGGGTTCTGTAGATCTGGGATATGAAAAATTGATGCAGTATTGGGAATGAGGAAATGATTGCAGCAAGTCTTGTAATTGATGATCTATTTTTATCTGGCTGTTTTTGCTTTTTTTTTTAGTGAAAAATTAATTTTGCATATCATCATTGTGGTCTTTTTCAAGCACATGCTGCCCAATTTTACATTCTCAGATACTTGTCACTTCTGCTGCTTTTAGATGTTTTTATATGTGCACTGACATCTTTTCCTGGTTCTGTGGAATTTGTATTGGGCCAGGTAGGGCCATTTAGGTGGAGCAAGGGTAGGGGGGGTATGATTGGAAAAGCAGTGACGCGAGGGCTTTGACCCCAGTACCTTGACAGTGATCCTGACCTAGGTGGACCACTGTCACGGCCATGTCTGTCGAGAAGCCTATTAAACCAGACAGCACCACAGAACATGATGTGAGCCACAAGAACACAGGAATTTAGTTAGTAACTTGATTACTGGGATCCCCTTGCTAAAATACCAACCATGTTGTTAGTTGGATGGTCTACTAGGGCTGTTTGGCCTCACTAGGACTGACTGTTGTTTTTTAATGGCGACCTGAGCCTGGGACATTGTCCATTGGTGTTTGTTCCCTGGACAACTCGGGGTTAACTTCTCTTTTTGGTCCATGTTTTATGTTTCATGTCATGAAAGTGATGTGTATATGTCTCTGAATTCAGCATCAGGAGAACCAGTGAAAGCTGTCAACAGAGATGTGTGGTTTTGGGCTGCTGTTTTGATTTTTGTTCTCTTTATGTTTGATGAGTCTAAGAGTTTCAGAATTCAAAATATTTTATCAGGAGCTCTTATCACTACACCAGAAGCATATGAAACTAGATTTTAATCAAGTCTTGCACCATTTTGTGAACGGTGTTTTTCTTAATTATTGGGGGGGAGGGGGGGGGGGAAAGAAACTTTTTATCCTGCCTGTTTCCTTCTATTACATCTCATACTAAGACTTGTCATTTTTGGTCATGTTCACACCTAGCCTAATTGAGGTAATGCCAAAATCCAGATTACATCATGATTTCTTATTCAAATCCTATGCTTTACCCTTTAATGATCAGGTAGAATCCATCAGTTAGTGTAGCTGGGAACAGGGCCCCAGTGTGTGTTTCTGCAATATTGCAAACCTGAAAGAATGTCACATAGTTGTCGAGTTTCCTGTCAATATCTTGGCCCCAAATATCTCCACACAGGAAGTTGTACAGCTGTTGGAGTAGAGGAAGGAAGATTTTTGTCCACTGATCGAGCTTATAAAGTGGCTACCATTGAGTCTCAATCTTTTTTTGCAATCTTTTTAATATGGGAACCCTTTTTGGTCTTAGATAAAATGATTCAAATCCTATGTGGCATCCTATTTGTCTAATCTTTTAAATATGGGAACCCTTTCTGGTCTTAGATAAAAATCATTTTAGTCCTATGTGGTATCCTATTTGTTTAAAAGGTGCTTTCTTTTGGTTTCCTGTAAGAATCACTTTCCTCTCTCTCTGTAAGGAACTGACTGAAGACAGTTTTGAAAGTTAGCTAAGGAACAACTTCTGAAGTCATCCCTCACCATTCACATCGCTTTCTCTTTTCCTGAAGTTTGCTGGGTAGAATGGAGGAGAAGCTTCCAGTTTATGTTGTAATATTTTTCACATTGGAGAATGTCTTACAATGTGTCTTTTATCTTGATTGTGTTGTGTTAGGAGTCCATTCAGGTACCTTAGTGTGAATGTATTGTGTAAGGGGACGTTCAAGATGTTCATTGTTTGTGTCTTGTCTCCAGATCAGGTTTGGATCAGCCCCTGGAGTTACAAAACATGCTTTGTGATCAAAGTGGTTGCATTTCACTTATTCCTGAAACATCTTCATTTCACTGAACACATATTCCACTTAAGTGTATTGATACCGGACACTTGATGTATTCCAAAAGTTTGCTGTACACCTCTCAATCTTTTGCCTCCAGTTACAAAGTTTGTACACCAAGTGGCTGGTTCCTTTATCATGCACTGGCATCTCTTTTTTCCTTCATTCACGGCCTTGTTTCTGGCAATAGCTTACTGGCCATCAACCAAGCTTATAATAGTTCTAGTTGCTTCAGCTCTTTTTAAGAAATGTGTCTTTGGCTATAGTGTCCTGTTATTGAAGTTAACTAAGGATTGAATGTTGCCCTTTTGATACCTTTTCATACAAAAATTCTTTCAAATAATAATAATAATAATAATGATTGAAATAAAAACTTTCCCAACAGGTTGAATTTTATCTCAAAACATAAACCTTGAACAACATCTTGCATGAAGTTTCATCATTTCATCATGGCCTCTATTTCCCCTTAACTGTGGCCATGTCGGTTTGAGCACAAGCCTTAAAATTTGTCTGAATAATTCCAAGGTTGACATAAGAAAGTTTGATAAAAATTAAAACAGTAAGAGGGATGTTTTGGGAAAAGTTTAAAGGCAGTTTCAGGTGAGAGTGCACAACCTATGACCAAAACCTGTGGATTTTCTCTTTATACAAGCATGAAATGGCATTTGGAGGGATTTCTTCCCCAGGTCTTTATTTTGATGGAAAGTCCCTGTCTGTAGGTTAAATCACTCTAGTCTGTTTTATTATTTCATCTATTCCCTTAACCCACAATTTTAATGTCCAAAAAGATTAAATTGATAATGAAATAATACAATAATGAATAAATAGGTTAATAAATAAATGAATAAAATTAGTAGTGATAAAATAATCCAATTTGTGTAAGGAATCATAAAAATATCTTTCATCACAAACTCGGTTCATAGTAATATTTCAATGAAGAATTCAACCGAGGCAGGTGCTAGGCAGGCCTTGTTTCATACTACAGGCAATCCTGAATCATCCACCTAGCACTTTGTAACTAGCCCAGGTTGTCTTGGGGTCTCTTCATGTCAGTTCTCCTGCCTTCAAAGATCCATCTGGCTCAGGCAGGAAATGTTCAACACGACCTTACGGAGATCGTAATAGCCCCATTGCTTCCTGGAACATGCTTGGTTCCACCCAACACAGCCCCTTTATTGGACCACTTGGGGTGAACGTGAGCAGTTTTACAAGATAGGGAAACTCTAGCTCAGTGTTAATGGCGTATGAAAATTGCTTGTGAAGATAACTTGGAGAGCAGGTTTAAGAGATAATTGAAGCTTTCTTGCAGAGATAACAGGAAAATGTATATGAAATGGTCTTCGATAAGTTGTCTTTTTATTAGCCTATACTCCTTCCTAATTGCCTGCCATATAAAGGTTTAATATACTACATAGAATTCTTCACCTGTAAATCTTTTATGTTCCTGTTTGAAATGAAATCCTCACTTTCATTTTCTTTATTTACAGAAGTGCTCCCAAGTTTTGTTGTGGAACCAGAGTCCCAAGTTGTGAAGAAAAATGCAGAGGTGGTCTTATCTTGCCAAGTGGCACCACCTACAGCTGAAATTCGATGGAAGTACAATGGACATTACATTGAACCAAGTACTGATGATCGCATGCAGATCAGGGCGGACAATTCCTTACATATATCAGCATTTAAGGCTAAAAGACATGCAGGGACATATATGTGTGGGGGGAGCACTCCCGAAGGAACAATATTAAGCAGACCTGCAAAGTTACATAGAGCAAGTGAGTGTATCAGATATGAGAAACTCTTTGGTTTCACTTGGAAGATGACATCTTTTTATGGTTTCCTAACAGTATTCAGAGAAAATAAGCAATTTATAACCCCCCATTTTGTCATCTAGAAAAACCTACTGATAAAGTGGCTTTTTTTTGTAGAAAGAGCTCTGAAATAAGGAAGAAGCAAGCTGGAAGTAGGGTATGCTTCTTGCTAAAAGCCTGTGTATTTCAAATTATGGTATATGTTGGTTTCTGTATCAAAACTTTTGGCAATATGTTTGCTTGTAAGTTTATTTAACTTTGGAGTACTCGATTTGTTTGAGTCAAAGTTGTTAATCAGAAAACTTTTCTTTTAAAGGATTGGGACATTTCACAAATGGAGGTCAATCTCGAGGCATTGAAGTTGTGGTGGTGAATGCAACAGAAGGCAACACAGCTGTGATCCCCTGTGAAATTCCCAAGGGCGAACCCACACCAGTTGCAATATTTGAGATTAATAGTACAACGATAGATAAGTCAACTGGTAGGTGGTGATCTAAAGACCTTTTGGGTATTTTACACGTAAAAAATGGGAAAAAATGGAAGATGCAGATGCGTAAAATGAAAATGATTTCAAATCTTTGATCATTAGATATTTTGATTTACCAAAATGTAATATTTTTAAAGGCAACGCAAAGCTACATATATGTGTAGATGATTTGAAATCAGAGGAGCCAAACTGATATTCTGTGTTACATTTCTTTAGTAATGAAAAAATAAAGATTGGCAGTCAATACTTGATGGCAACTAGTATAGAAATATAAACCTGGTTGACAAAGGATTAAGTTTAATGAAAAAAATATCAAAACTAAACCAATTAGCAGCATTCATTATTTTCCTTTGTTATGAATGGAAAATATCTCTATTTAAGTGTAATAATCAAAACTTCCAGAGAGGTACAAGCTTCACCCGAGTGGTAACCTTCACATTGGAGCTGTCCGGCAGAGTGACCAGGGCCTCTATAGCTGTATAGTGAAAAATACCGTCAGTGGAAAGAAGAAAGATTCAACAAAACAAATACAACTCAAAATAAGTAGTAAGTATATACTGGATAAATATGATATGTATAAATGTGATGCTTTTCAGGAAAAAAAACTTACTCTGAGCTCTCCTAAAGAAATGGAGGAAAGTGGCAGTTTTATGTTACTGAATGGTTGTTTGCCTTTGGGTCACATGAAATAAAAAAAATTAAAATAAATGCTGAAGAATGTTAAAAAAAAAAAAATGCCATTCCAGCTGTCGTAAATTTAGAGAACACTTTTTGGGCAACTAGTAACGTTTGCTCTTGCTAAACCTATTTTACAGATTTTGAAGATTTCTCTACTGGTCATTTGGTCCATCATGAGAAATCTGTGAGATATGCTAAAAATCATAATTGAACATTCCCCACAGCGCTGGTGCTTCCAGATAGCCTCTCTATCACCTCTGTCGTAATTACTTCTGAATATATTAGCATCTGGGAGAAATGCTGAGAAATCCTTGAGTTGTTCTCTTTGCCAGTAGAAAAAGAAAAAGTCTTGTCAGTTCTTATTATCTGTTTCTTCCTTCTCATTTGTAATGTTTTCAAAAAGCCTGATTTTTTTCAAGCTGAGAAAAATCTTAAGCATCTTTTTTTCACTAGAGGTATTTCCCATTCAGTGTGGATTTCACTTTTGCTTTCTGACAGTTTTAAGAGTGGAAAAATAGAACATGTAAATATTTCAGAATTTTTTGGAAGACCAAGAACCCCAGTTAAATCTGGCCCTGAGAAAGCCCTCTGCAATTCAGTACATTCACCTCTATATCTCTGCACTACTATTTGGCTGCTTATATAACTNTTGTTATATATGCATTGAAGTCTTTTCCTGGTTCTGTGAAATTTGTATTGGGCCAGGTAGGGCCTTCTAGGTGGAGTAGGGGGAGGGGGGCCCCTATGATTTGAAAAGTGGTGACGCAAGGGCTTTGACTCCAGTACCTTGACAGTGATCCTGACCTAAGTGGACCACTGTCACGGCCATGTCTGTCGAGAAGCCTATTAAACCAGACAGCACCACAGAACATGATGTGAGCCACAAGAACACAGGAATTTAGTTAGTAACTTGATTACTGGGATCCCCTTGCTAAAATACCAACCATGTTGTTAGTTGGATGGTCTACTAGGGCTGTTTGGCCTCACTAGGTTTGACTGTTGTTTTTTAATGGTGACCCGAGCCTGGGACATTGTCCATTGATGGTTGTTCTCTGGACACCTCGGGGTTAACTTCTTATTTTGGTCCATGTTTTATGTTTCATGTCATGAAAGTGATGTGTATATGTCTCTGAATTCAGCATCAGGGGAACCAGCGAAAGTTGTTGGCAGAGTTGCATGATTTTGACTTGGGATTTTTGTTCTCTGTAAATATAATGAGTATAAAAGGTTCAAAATTTAATTTTTTTATCAGGGGCTTTTATCACTAAACAAGTAGCATGTGGAGCTGGATATTAATCAAGTCTTACACAATTTTGTGAATGGCGTTTTCCTTAAATATTAGGGGGAAAATTTCCCATCCTGCCTGTTTCCTTCTATTACATCTCATTCCAAAACTTGGTCATGTTCACACCCAGCCTAATTGAGATGATACCAAAACTCCAGATTACATCATGCCTTCTTATTAAAAACCGTGCTATACCCTGTAATGATCAGGTAGAATCCATCAGTTAGTGTAGCTGGGAACAGGGCCCCAGTGTGTGTTTCTGCAATATTGCAAACCTGAAAGAATGTCACATAGTTGTCGAGTTTCCTGTCAATATCTCGGCCCCAAATATCTCTACACAGGAAGTTGTACAGCTGTTGGAGTATAGGAAGGAAGATTTTTGTCCACCGATTGAGCTAAACTGGCTACCATTGAGTCTTAATCTTTTTTTGCGATCTTTTTAATATGGGAACCCCTTTTGGTCTCAGATAAAATGATTCAAATCCTATGTGGCATCCTATTTTGCCTTATCTCTTTTGCAATCTTTTAAAAATGGGAACACTTTCTGGTCTTAGATAAAATCATTCAAGTCCTATGTGGCATCCTATTTGTTGAAAAGGTGCTTTGTTTTGATTTCCTTTTAGAATCACTTTCCTCTCTCTCTGTAAGGAGCTGACTAAAGACAGTTGTGAAAGTTGGCTGAGGAACAACTTCTGAAGTCACCCCACACCATTCACATGGCCCAGTCTGTTTTCCCTGAAGTTTGCTGGGTAGAATGGAGGAGGAGCTTCCAGTTTATGTTGTAATATTTTTTTACATTGGAGAATGTCTTACAATTTGTGTTTTATCTTGATTGTGTTGTATTAGGAGTCCATTTAGGCACCTTAGTGTGGATGTATTGTGTAAGGGGACGTTCAAGATGTTCATTGTTTGTGTCTTGTCTCCAGATCAGGTTTGGATCAGCCTCTGGAGTTACAAAACATGCTTTGTGATCAAAGTGGTTGCATTTCACTTATTCCTGAAACATCTTCATTTCACTGAACACATATTCCACTTAAGTGTATTGATACCGGACACTTGATGTATTCCAAAAGTTTGCTGTACACCTCTCAATCTTTGCCTCCAGTTACAAAGTTTGCACACCAAGTGGCTGGTTCCTTTATCATGCACTGGCATCTCCTTTTTCCTTCATTCACTGCCTTGTTTCTGGCAGTAGCTTACTGGTCGTCAACCAAGCCTCTAATGGTTCTAGTTGCTTCAGCTCTTTTTAAGAAATCTGTCTTCAACCACAGTGTCTGTTATCGAAGTTGACTAATGATTGAATGTTGTCTTTTTGGTACCTTTTCACTTCATAACCCCCCCCCCTCCTCAAATAATAATAATAATAATAATAATAATAATAATAATAATAATAATAATAATAACCTTCCCAACAGGTTGAATGGCGGTTTGAGTACAAGCCTTAAAATTTGTCTGGATAATTCCAAGTTTGACATAAGAAAGTTTGATAAGAATTAAAACAGTAAGAGGGATGTTTTCAGAAAAGTTTAAAGGCAGTTTTGGGTGAGAGTGCACAACCTATGACCAAAACCTGTGGATTTTCTCTTTATACAAGCATGAAATGGCATTTGGAGGGATTTCTTCCCCAGGTCATTATTTTGATGGAAAGTCCCTGTCTGTAGGTTAAATCACTCTGGTCTGTTTTATTTTTTGTCTATTCCATTAATCTAGAATTTTAGTGTCCAAAAATTAAATTTGATAAATGAAATACTTAATGAATAAATGAACAAATAAGATGAAGTAGTAATGCTAAAAATATCCAATTTGTGTAAGGAATCATAAAAATTATCTTTCATCACAAACTTGGTTCATAGTAATATTTCAATGAAGAATTCAACCGAGGCAGGTGCTAGGCAGGCCTTGTTTCATACTACAGGCAATCCTGAATCATCCACCTAGCACTTTGTAACTAGCCCAGGTTGTCTTGGGGTCTCTTCATGTCAGTTCTCCTGCCTTCAAAGATCCATCTGGCTCAGGCAGGAAATGTTCAACATGACCTTACGGAGATCGTAATAGCCCCATTGCTTCCTGGAACATGCTTGGTTCCACCCAACACAGCCCCTTTATTGGACCACTTGGGGTGAACGTGAGCAGTTTTACAAGATAGGGAAACTCTAGCTCAGTGTTAATGGCGTATGAAAATTGCTTGTGAAGATAACTTGGAGAGCAGGTTTAAGAGATAATTGAAGCTTTCTTGCAGAGATAACAGGAAAATGTCTGTGAAATGGTCTTAGATCAGTCTAAGATCTAATAAACAGAAAGATTGGACAGCGGCATTTTCCCTTTGACCAGACGTTCGTACGGGTAAACATTGCTCTATTGTTCCCCTTAAGTTGTTTTGATAGCCGGGCTTAATTTTAATCCCCATTGTACCTAACCCGTGTTTAGCGAATAGCGTGATTTCTCGTGCATTCTCGNATCTTAGGATCAGTTGTCTTTTTATTAGCCTATACTGCTTCCTAATTGCCTGCCATATAAAAGGTTTAATATACTACATAGAATTCTTCACCTGTAAATCTTTTATGTTCCTGTTTGAAATGAAATCCTCACTTTCATTTTCTTTATTTACAGAAGTGCTCCCAAGTTTTGTTGTGGAACCAGAGTCCCAAGTTGTGAAGAAAAATGCAGAGGTGGTCTTATCTTGCCAAGTGGCACCACCTACAGCTGAAATTCGATGGAAGTACAATGGACATTACATTGAACCAAGTACTGATGATCGCATGCAGATCAGGGCGGACAATTCCTTACATATATCAGCATTTAAGGCCAAAAGACATGCAGGGACATATATGTGTGTGGGGAGCACTCCCGAAGGAACAATATTAAGCAAACCTGCAAAGTTACATAGAGCACGTAAGTGTATCAGATATAATAAACTCTTTAATTTTACTTTCAATTTGACATCTTTTATGGTTTCCTAACAGTATTCAGAGAAAATAAGCAATTTATAACCCCCCCCCCCCCCCCCCCCCCCATTTTGTCATCTTGAAAAACCTACTGATAAAGTGGCTTCTTTTTGTAGAAAGAGCTCTGAAATAAGGAAGAAGCAAGCTGGAAGTAGGGTATGCTTCTTGCTAAAAGCCTGTGTATTTCAAATTATGGTATATGTTGGTTTCTGTATCAAAACTTTTTGCCATATGTTTGCTAGTAAGTTTATTTAACTTTGAAGCACTCGATTTGTTTGAGTCAAAGTTGTTAATCAGAGAAATTTTCTTTTAAAGGATTGGGTCATTTCACAAATGGAGGTCAATCTCGAGGCATTGAGGTTGTGGTGGTGAATGCAACAGAAGGCAACACAGCTGTGATCCCCTGTGAAATTCCCAAGGGCGAACCCACACCAGTTGCAATATTTGAGATTAATAGTACAACAATAGATAAGTCAACTGGTAGGTGGTTATCTAAAGACCTTTTTGGTATTTTACACATAAAAAATGGGAAAAAATGGAAGATGCAGATGCATAAAATGAAAATGATTTCAAATCTTTGACCATCAGATATTTTGATTTACCAAAATGTTATCTTTTTATAGGCAATGCAAAGCTAC